TAAATTTTGATGATGTTTGAAAATGGAGATTAAGAAATTAAGCCAGAGGCTTTACAGAAATGGATATTGAGGAAGGATCTGAAGGACAATGAAGAAATGGCAACACATATATGTTCTAAGAGAGTATTTTATGATATGCTTTATTAGCAGAGATTTATTTAACATTGAAATAAGCCCACTGACTTTCAGGTAAAGTAGAGAAGAGGATCATATATATTTTCCTAAGTCTGGGAGCAATCTTATTCAGCAGGAACTCATACATAATGAAACAGAATAAATCACAAGAGATTAAGTTGTCTTTAGTTTATAATAGGTGTGCCCTTTCCCCAAGGAATGGCAGATGTTTCAGAATCCAGTCAGGTCAAGGCTTTCAGTAGCAGAGCGTTGTATTTGCCACTAATGGTTTTATAGAATTATTAAATTAGTCATTACCCTAAAGCTAATTCTTTTCTGATTCTGGCTGTATACCACTTTTGATTGTTTGAAAAATAGCTATGTGAAAAGCAGTCTTTTTTAAGAGACTTGTATAGACTGCCTGTTATCCCCCTCTCCTGCAACTGTGATGACTTAGCAGAGCAGACCTGTCTCTTCTTTTTCTAGTCTCAGAGAAGTGCTGATCTGTGAGGAGGAAAGAGCAACTGAGAACTCAAGTTACCAGTTCAAAGAGCACAGCATTCTCTTCTAGCCATAATAGGTTGGCAAACTCTAAGACTAGGAGATAAATTGAATGAGTGCCCCCAAGCCATGCATGGACAGGAGCAGTTAGTGGATGCTCACCCAAGAAACACTTGCTACTTATCTGAAGCAGGTGAATGACAAAATATAGGACTGTATAAAACGCAGATAACATAATTTGGAGGACCAAAAATGGTAAGAAATGGATATCTTCCCTGAGGCAAGCAACCAGAATCCTTTGCTTCTACTGTTTGTTCGGGCAGTTAAGCTGTTTTAAGTTTTGATGGTTGCTGCCTTTAAGCTGCCACTCTATTACCCAGCCACTTGCATGTAAGCCTCACTGAGTAGACATGCATAGGCTTGCACTGCTGTCTACACCTTTACAGTGGTACCTCGGGTTAAGTACTTAATTCGTTCCGGAGGTCCGTACTTAACCTGAAACTGTTCTTAACCTGAAGCACCACTTTAGCTAATGGGGCCTCCTGCTGCTGCCGCGCCGCCAGAGCCCGATTTCTGTTCTTATCCTGAAGCAAAGTTCTTAACCTGAAGCACTATTTCTGGGTTAGCGGAGTGTGTAACCTGAAGCGTATGTAACCTGAAGCATATGTAACCCGAAGTACCACTGTATTTCCTGTCTCTCACTCTCCAATACAGGGGTGCCAACCTAAACAAAATATTGGGTAGGAGGTTAGGTAAGCCACACCCCACACAATCGATCCCATGACGTGGCGCGCACACAGCAACTGAATGGCAATGCCCATCAACTTTTGGGGGGTCCAGCCCCCTCAAATATTTTATTGTGGTAGCTGAAGGGACCTCTGCCCCTAGGAGCTGGCTCCTATGCTCCAGTATAATTGCTAATGTTTTCCTTCTTAATGAATTGCTCCTTGTTGCTTATATACTGCTTGGTATATGCATTATGTGTGCTCCTGAAAGGACAGGCTCTAAGAACTGGTGGTGCTTTCCACTCAATGGGAGCAGCAAGAATTAGCAAGGTAGGAAGCTACTTTATACTGAGTCAGACCAACTGTCCACATAGCCAGTACTGTCTATATTGGCTGGAAGCAGCTCTTCAAGGTTTTAGACAGGAAGTCTCTCTCGACCATACTGGAGATGCTGAGGATTGAAGCAAGGACATTTTGCATGCAATGCCATATGCTTTACCATTGAGTCATGGCCCATCCCTGATAGTTACAGGTGAACCATCACACAGAGGCTGTGCCACACCTTCAACATATATACATACGCTAAAGCATAAATGCCAAAGAACAGCTGCTCTATGTCAGCAACTTTTGTGTCCCCCCGTCTCCGTCTGAATGCAAATACAGAAAAACTTTTGCAAATCAGCCTCTGGCTCAGAATATACACACACTTCAAAACAAAACTGCACAGAGGATACAGAGAGAAATTCTGCTAGGTAACACTATATATATATATATATATATATATATGGATATTATTCTTATTTGTTCATTTAATTTATGAATCACTTTTTACAATTTACAAACATACTATAAAAACAGCTATAAACAGCTTTAAATACAGTGCAAAACAAAACTATAGAAAGACATTCATTCTGTATTGTTTTTAAACCTAAGGCAAGTGGTGTTTTGATCCAGCTAGAAAAATCTGTTGGAGCAAAAATGCCTTCACTTGTTTCCAGAAAGTTAGTGGGCACCTATTGCATCTCAAGAGGGATGCTATTCCACAAAACAGAAGCAGCCACACTAAATGTCTTACTCTATGTTATGGCGAGAGCTTCTGATACTTTGGGGACTCTTAAGGAGAAACTGTTTGCAGAAGGCATTGATCTACTGGGAATATAAGAGAAAAGGCAATCCCACAAGGAAATAGGACCTGGGCTGCATTGGGCCTTATATATTAGTACCAAAACCTTGAATTTAGCCCAGTAGCAGATTGACAGCCAGTGCAAATTCCACAGACTAGGTGTTATGTGCAGGTGGTAGTTTGCCTCACAAGCAACCTAGCCATTGCATTCTGTGCAAGCTCAAGGGTAGCCCCACACAGAGTGAATCACGGCCATTCAGTTGTGAGGTCATCAATGCATGGACAACTGTGGTCAAGCTACCTCAATTTAGGAATGTCCTCAGCTCTCTTACTAGCTGTACCTGATAAAATGTACTCCTAGCCACTAAGATCACCTGGATCTAGAATTGTGCCCTAGAAGTACTTTTCTCTCTTAATGCAAATACGCTTGAAAGCACATCAGCTTTGGCCCTATAATGCCTAAATTATCCTTTTTTCCAACAAGAGATGGATTCACAACCAGTAGAAAACATGCTCTTCTATAAACAAAGGTATCTTCCTTTTTTATATATATGTTTACACCTACGATTAAGATTTGAGCACTGCTCCTTTGTCACACTTCTGTTTCCCCATTACAGTAGATCACCTTCTCTATTGTCTTGACTATGCTACCACTCAGTGGATTTGTAACTGGCTGACTGACCGAACCCAAAGGGTCTCATCAATGGTTCCTCTTCATCCTGGAGAAGAGTGACTAGTGGGGTGCCACAGGGTTCTGTCTTGGGCCCGGTCTTATTCAACATCTTTATCAATGACTTGGATGATGGACTCAAGGGCATCCTGATCAAATTTGCAGATGACACCAAACTGGGAGGGGTGGCTAACACCCCAGAGGACAGGATCACACTTCAAAACGACCTTGACAGATTAGAGAACTGGGCCAAAACAAACAAGATGAATTTTAACAGGGAGAAATGTAAAGTATTGCACTTGGGCAAAAAAATGAGAGGCACAAATACAAGATGGGTGACACCTGGCTTGAGAGCACTACATGTGAAAAGGATCTAGGAGTCTTGGTTGACCACAAACTTGACATGAGCCAACAGTGTGACGCGGCAGCTAAAAAGCCAATGCAATTCTGGGCTGCATCAATAGGAGTATAGCATCTAGATCAAGGGAAGTAATAGTGCCACTGTATTCTGCTCTGGTCAGACCTCACCTGGAGTACTGTGTCCAGTTCTGGGCACCACAGTTCAAGAAGGACACTGACAAACTGGAACGTGTCCAGAGGAGAGCAACCAAAATGGTCAAAGGCCTGGAAACGATGCCTTATGAGGAACGGCTAAGGGAGCTGGGCATGTTTAGCCTGGAGAAGAGGAGGTTAAGGGGTGATATGATAGCCATGTTCAAATATATAAAAGGATGTCACATAGAGGAGGGAGAAAGGTTGTTTTCTGCTGCTCCAGAGAAGCGGACACGGAGCAATGGATCCAAACTACAAGAAAGAAGATTCCACCTAAACATTAGGAAGAACTTCCTGACAGTAAGAGCTGTTCAACAGTGGAATTTGCTGCCAAGGAGTGTGGTGGAGTCTCCTTCTTTGGAGGTCTTTAAGCAGAGGCTTGACAACCATATGTCAGGAGTGCTCTGATGGTGTTTCCTGCTTGGCAGGGGGTTGGACTCGATGGCCCTTGTGGTCTCTTCCAACTCTATAATTCTATGATTAATCCTAAGCATGTTAATTCTGAAGTCCCACTCAGTTGGCTGCAGGTAAGGCAGATCCTCAGATGGCAGGATCCACATTGTTGAGTCGGAAGGGGTCCACCTAGTCCAACCCCTTGCAGTGCAGGAATCTCAACACACACGTCCCGCACCCCCATTTGAGGGGGCCGCATTGCTTGCTGTTTAACAGCAATGTGTTATTTTGCAACGTTTATCTGCAACCATTTCAAGGCCGTTCCTCTGTAAAGCTTCCAAATGCATTCTTGTGGTGGGGAGCAGACGCGCTTCTACTCCGCAAGGGGTCCAGACTGGGGATTCCGTTTGCACCAACGCTAGCAGCCCGTCCAGATCAGCCAACACTTCGCCACGTCCTTAGAACTTTCATAGCCGAAGCGGCGGCCACCTGGCTTTAAAATATGGAAACCCTCAGTAGCGGCGCGCTTTGCACCTTCAGGTGCCCGAGAAGCAGGCCCCGCCCCGCACAACCCGGCCAGCCAATCCTGCCTCTCTCTTCGCCACGAGCCCAACTCCCGGGAAACGCGTCCCACTCCAGGAAACTGAAAGCTCCGCCCCGCCCTCCTCACGTCAAGCGCGTCGCGTCGGCGAACGGGCGTAAAGTCTCGAAGAAGCGCGCAGCCCCGCACCAACCGCCGCTCGCGAGGTTACCGTTGCCTTTCCCCCTCCCCCACGAGCAGACGCGGGGCCTCGCTGTCCCGCGCGCCGCTGGCGGGCGAAGGGGCTGCCGGGAGTTTCTCTCGCGCGCGCCTTCCCCGCTGTGAGGGAAAGAGGACGCGGGCCTTTTTCTCCCGTGTGACTGACGGGCTCTTTCGCGCAATATGCCGGCGACGCGGTGGCGGCGGCTGCTACTACTGCTGAAGAGCTTCGCGTTTCTCGGGAGCCGGCCTCTCTCTGCCTTCGTCCAGCCTCAGCCGCCGCCGCACCTCGTCGCTTGCCGGCTTCCAGAGATGGCGTGCGAGTCTATTAGTAGGCGCGTGGTAGTGATGGCGGCTTTCAGGGAGACTTTTCCTGTCACTGGATACTGTTCCTACTACCGGCGGCGGCGGCGGCGGCGGCGGGAGCAGCTTCTAAGTAGCCCCGCTGCTGCTGCTTCCATGCTGCACAGCCCTTCTGCAGGAGGGGCCAAAGGGAAGTCTTGACCAACTCCCCGCCTTCCTCCTCCCCTCCCTTTCCTAGCTGCCTGCAGCCGCGGGAGTTTCGCGGCCACGCCGCCGCCACCATGGGCTTTTTGGACAGGCTGAGGAAAGACTGGTTCATTCTCGGAATAGTCCTGGTCATCACGGTGGCCAAGCTGGAGCCGGCCTTTGGGGTGAAAGGGGGTAAGTCTGGCCGTGGGCATGTCATTGCCTAATGAAATGCGTGTCAGCCCTGGATTCTGCCCCCCCTCCTCACATGCCCAACTCGCTTGTTTGCAAACAAAGAGGAAATTGGGATTTAAAAATATATATTAAAAAGTCGGGTGTTGTGGGTATATGGGGTCCATTGCAAAATGTTGCGCTCTCCACACCGTAGGAGAACTGGAGGAAGCCCACGGCCCGAATATCTGCACGCTGCTTGGGGTTTGCTATCCGACCCCTTCTTTCTTTTGGCCGCTGCAGCCATTCTGAGGTTCAGTATACTGTAGCTTCCCTAGCGCTCCAAAACTCTTCGGCAGAGGAGCTGCGTTGACACGTTGCACACTCGGAGCGAGCGAGACGACCCAACTTCCGCGTGGTGACACCCAGCAAGCAGGAGGGGCTGAGCTCTGGGGCGGGTTGAGCAAACTTAAGTCCCAGCAACAGATAACATTGAAGGAGATATGTGGACTCCTTTAAAAAAATGATAATAAATTTGATAACTGCAAGCACCAAGCAGTTGCAAAAAAAAGGGACAGGGATTTAACTCCCTCACTCCCCAAATCGCCTTTATTGTTTCCCAGCCAGTGTAGAAACTTAAAAGTACATTGACTAGCTGGAAACTCTTGTTCTGCTATTAGGCTACGTAAATGAACATGGAGAGGGGGAAGTCATTCCCAGATCAGGAAATGATTGGGTTTGATGTAATCCTTGTATGCTCCCACCTTCAGAAATGTGTGTGTGCGTCAATAATTTTCACAGTAATAGTTGGTAAAACATAATCTGGAGGAGGTAGTTTTTCACATCCGTGAGGACTGAGTTAACAATGAACTTAAACAAATACACTTGTTAACAGGGAGCAACTTCCTTACTTCCACATACTATATCCATTTCACCTGGGAAAATTACTTCTGTTGAATCTGGGATAATTACTCCTCCTCTTCCGGAGAGAATTACTTGGAATGCATGAATTATGTATAGCCATTCCCCTAGTGCATGAGCGAGCTTATAAAGCAGTTGTGTTAGTTTTGTTTTCTTCAAATTATGGGAAAGAGCAAACTTCATTACCATTGGGCCCTTTTAAAAGCATATAAGTCCTGAACACACCACCAAAAACTGTTGTGAATAAAGCACATAGACTGCCTGTGACTCAGTAATACTGTCTATGTCTGTTGCACAAAGAAAGAAGCTTGAATATTAAGACTCAGTTTGTGGATTTGCTAAATAGCCTTTGACATACCATAAATGTACAAGCTGTTCTTGTTCAAGTGTCAAAATGAAATATTGAGCACTGAGTCGAAAATTTAAAATGTACTGGTGAGTGCTTAATGCCATATCCTCTCAGTTAGTGTGTGCCAGTGATGTGGGATGGAAAATTTCCAAATGCTTAATTTTTATCTGCATAAAATGTTCTGTTTCAGGAGTTCCTTAGAAAAAATGAATGGGTGCCCAATTGCAAATACAGTTAAGGCAAACTTGGCAGTTTCAAAGTTTTCTTTACTAAATGCAAGTAAAATAAACTTGCTACATTAGATCACTCCCTCGGGATGCAAACTGACATTTTTCTTATGCACGTTAGCTTAATTTCCATAGAATTCCCCCTCCCTATTATCTTATGCATGTATACATGAAAGTAAGTCCTACTCATTTTGTCCCTAATGGAGTGGCAAGATGGAAGAAGTGGATGCAGCTCTGACAAAGCTATACTTGCTGAAATATCTTCTACACAGATTTCTGTTAAAATTGTAGGATACCTGTTTTCTCTTTTTCATCTGGTCACCTATCCTGCTTCCAGGTAAGCATGCATAGGACATTGCTGTCATGTTTTGAAAATGGCAGGAAACAAAAAAGCTTTGAAATTGATGCAAGGCAAATGGCTCTTTTAGCTAAAACTTATATAAAATGTATTGCTTACTTGGCCTGCAGATTCAACCACTTGCTTTAGCTTTTTTTGTTCTATTTATCTTCTAATTTTGTGGCCAATTTTTAGATATCCCAGAAAATATTTATTGTCTCATAGCACATGGCTTTGTAGGAAGAGCTGCTAACTTTTGTGTAGAGCTTAACAAAAATATATTTTAAATAATGCTATGAGTTTAATTCTGCAGATTTTACTATGGGAGTGCTCCAGTGTTTAAAGAGGATTATCTGTTAAAGTGGTAATTTTAAACTGGACAGTGGGGCATTTTGTCACATACCTTTTCCTCTTCAGTGCATCGGAGCACATTTACTGATGTAATTCCCACTCAGTTCAGTGACTTTTTATTTTATCTGTGGTGATCCAGACTTGGCTCCTGCAGTTGCATCTGTCATATATCACTGGTCTTCTGCCATCTGTAAGCTTGACAGCCTTTCAGTAGCCGGGCTAACTAGTCTTAGGCAGTTATTCTTTCGAGGTTTTTGGCCAGCAATTGTTTACAAATGTATTGAGCATTGCATTTAATCACTCTTCATTTATTAAGGAACTTTTATGTCCAGGAGACCACTTCTTTCCCTATATCTGACTGCAGGTTAAGAGCACACTTTCCAATCTAGTTTTCTGCCAGGTTGGCTTATACTGCCCAGTGGAAGGCTGGAACCTGGACATGAAGTTCTTGGGTTCTTAATCTTCAGTTCCATGACTTCATATATTTTGCACCTGAATTTAGAAATGTTGCAATTAACCCTGGGTCAGAAATCTGGCTTAATAATGGCTAGTAATCTGTTCTGTGGTAGGTAGAATGTTGTGTTTCATTGTTTTGGTAATGAAGAATTGCTTTGCTCCATTGAGAAAACACTGGTTCCCAGGAGGTTCTGATGCATTTTATAGAAGGCATAAAGTGTTGATACTTCCACATTTGCCTGTATGTCAATTCAGTGAAATGTGAGGATCGTTTGCCTGGTGTTCAGGATAAATAACAGAATCACAGAACTGTAGAGTTGGATGGGATCCCCCAAGGGTTATCTAGCCCAGCCCCTTGCAAAGCAGGAATCTCAACATAGAATACAAACTTTACATTTCAAAAAAGTCTACAAAAATAGTGTCAACTAAGGATTCATTCTGTTGCCCAGTTAGAGAAATTGACTGTGTTGATTGTTTGATTAAATGTGAAACAATTGGCATATACATAAAAACAGTAGTTATAAACCAAGGCACATATTTCTTTTCTCGAGTTGATGTGCATGTGTGATGTATCTGAGAAAGAAGAAAGCCTCTTCTAAGATAGCGTTTGCTACCTACAATTTGTATAATTGTATTAATGATAAGCTTTTTAAAAAAGTGCTAGCCAATTAATTGGGACTTTTAAATTTATTTCGTTTAGCAAGATTTATATACCACTTCATAAATAAACAGTCTCTAAGCAGCTTACATAAAAATAGTTCATGAAACAATTATGTAGTTGAAACACTTTTTAATTGGTTTTTACAACTGATTGTACCAGCATTACAGCCCTGCTAAGGGTGCTTTGAGGCATAGCATTTTGTGAGTGATTAGCACTGACTTAGAACAGTAGCCATTTACCAGTAAGTGCACCAGTCATTCCATAATGCTCATCCCACGCCAGTTACTTCTAGTCCATATGAACCAGCAGGAACAGTACAGCTGGAGCAATTACCATGGTGTCAAAACAGTGATAGTACCTCTACATTTTTACTTTCCCTGTGGTCCTTTTTCAGTTCTGCCAGTGCTGCTAGAAACAACAATGGAAAACTTCCTAAAACTGACTAATGACACTCCTAAGGGAACACCATCCACATACCTTAAGGAGGTGTGGGGAGGGAACATTATTTGAATTTATTCAGTGTATCAGCCAGAAGTGAACATCGATAGCTTTTCTGTTTTTTCTGCTAACAGTATAACAAATGCACAATATTTACTGTATTTTTGGTTGCCAAATATCTAAAGTTCTCTGGGTGACATATAGCATATAATAAAAACCATGAAATACAAAACACAATTCTAAAAAGTAGCATTAAAACAATTAATATAAAACTGAACTAAAATCAAAGCCACAACAAAAACATTCCAGGTGTGAAACAAAAGCATCAGATTTAAAAGACCTGTGAGAATAAAAAAGTCTTTGCCTGGCACTGAAACATACTGCTCATTTATTATGTGAGCCAGACATCTCTCAAGGAACCACAAAGAGGTCTAGGTTATCTCATTTCTTCAAAACTAAAGAACAAATTTTTTTTTGCTGAGAAAATGCAGTTCTTTCTCCAGTTAGCCAAACTGTGCAATTAAAAGTACTGCCCATAATGCTGTTGCACATATAGTGTGAGGGCCTATTGGACAGTGCTTGTGACATCATTAATGGGCGATAATGGATATGTCCACTGTTTGCAGGCTCTTGTGTGTTAAAACTGCTTGGAAATTAGTCAGCATGGAGAAGCCCCTTACTACTTTCTCGTCCCACCCACTTTCTATTCCATGTTGTGTACTCCATCTCTTGTGAACTATAGGGCACTATATAGCTCAAGTATTCCACTACCATCATCTTTGTAGTGATTCCCATCCCCCATTCATTATGTGTGAATTTGATATTGAATTGTTGACTTTGTATTTGGACGTGCTGGATTACTCTGCAAAGATTAAAATCAATAGGAGCTGGATTTCAACTGCTTGTCCAGATATGAACCCCTATTTTCCCCTATTGAAAATACACATTAGGACAGCACAGAATCTAACTTACAGTAATTTACAAGAAGTAATTATAAAAGCTAGGCCTTTCTTCATAGCTGGTTTTACGGGGGGGGGGGGGGCGTTAATGTTAAAGAAGGCCTTTGCTTTTATTCTTTAGATCACAAGTCTGTTAGATTTTTGT